TCAGTTTTAAGTTACAATGTACTGATAGAACTGGCAACAAATTATAGTTGATTTTTCTGGAAACAGACAAATTTGATGCACACATGGATGTCATCCATAAATGATAATGATTGAACTGACAGTGTGAGTGCACTAAGTAGAGAAAGATCTTAAAGGAATTCATTCAAGTTTAACATCAACGCTTTGTCTTTGTTTAGTCCCATCTTCTCCAGTGAACATCTCTAACTGTGGTGCAGTGGGCATTGGAACAACCCACATCAGTGTCACACAGCATTTTGGGTCAATGTCCCCACCAACTCCTGCATGTACACCTTCACCTACCAGAAGTTGTGCCTGTAAGTTTCTGTTTTAAGTCTGCAAATAAGAGTGGATACACATCGTACTGCTTACATGTAAATAAAATGATGTGAACATAATAATGATTCAGATTGACTTTTTTATCTGACCAAATTTTCCTGATACTGTGATAGAACTTTTCTAGAAAAACTGTACAATGTAGCTATCTGAATTGCTACCAATATCATACAAGGTATTGGGATGCACATTGACAATGGTAACATAACATAGAATACACAGTGGACTGAATGTGTTCACTGGTCTAGAGCAAATGTGACTCAACCATGATAATCATTGTTTCCAGTCTTAAGCCCAGAGGAGGCAGCTGATAAGTGTCAGAGGCACCTGGAAAGGCTGTATAGTCAGTACAACAAGACATGTCCTCTCCCATGGTACCAGGTAAACTTAACTATTTGTCAGTGTCACTCAAGATTACAGACAGAAAAGATCTTAAGCAATGTTACATGAAAGTTGCAAGTCTACATGAATTACTTTTTGCATGATTTATCAGTTATAGATAAAATCTGTTTCAAGATCATTCACAAAACCACGAGACCTTCATGCAATTTGTAGTCTGAAGGTACATGAGATTCATGGAAAGGAGGTTTGTATTGAGGATAGGGGGCCTGGCTAAGAAAGCATACATGTACCAGGGCGGATGCCTTCAAAAGTAAGTCGGACCGAGTGTGAGATGACATGCTAATACATGTACATTGTATGTGTAATTAGATAAAAGTGACATTTGATCTTTCCATCTACTAGGTGAATCAACTGAGTACCAAGGACTCGTACATCCCCGTCCAGTTTGAAGAGAGAAGCCTGCAGCAAGGTACCAGGGCAACATGTATCCAGGAGGATGACTTGCCTTTTGGGGAGGAACAGTTCATTCGCATTGATGGGGTGGGAGGGATTGGGAAAAGCATGTACATGCGCAGACTGGCAACAAGCTGGGCCAATGGGAAGTCTGAAAAACTGAAAAACATAAAACTGTTATTTCTGATAGAAGCCAACAGGCTCCCTGCAAACACAACATGTATCCTCGACACAATATTTGACCAGCTGATGCCTGACACTGACATCCAAAAGGAAGTCTTAAAAGAATGGATGAAGGAAAACCCCAAACTTGTCATGTTTCTCATTGACAACTTTGAGCAAAACGTAGGATTTAAAGAGGATAGCTACATGGCTAAGTTTCTGAAAGGCCATTGCTTCCCTGGTAGCAATATTGTCATCAGTGTTCGTACAGGCTTTGTGAAAAGTAGATCTTTCCTGCATCGGTCTACATCACATGTATACAAACTGTACAGTATGGCTGGCTTCAGTACTGAAGACGTCAACCTCTACATTGACAAATTTTTCAGTGTAGACCAAAAGCAATCTGATGATGATCGTGCTGGTAACGAAACAATGAGAGAAAAGGCGAGTGAGCTGAAAGAGATTCTGAAGGGGGACTCCAATCTGAGAGAGCTTGTCAAAAACCGTTTGCACGCAGCCCTGATTTGTACCCTCCATGCCAAAAATGAAATGCCCATGACTCTAAGCCTTACAGGTGTTTACAATCAGTTTGTTGACTTGTTGTTCAGATGGTGTTTTGACTCTGAGAGGAATTTGTCCTTCGGCGAAGACCTTACAAGTAGAGATCTGTACTGTGAGTGGAAAGAGGTCATAATGTCTTGTCTTGCTGAGCTTGCTTGGGCTGGTATAGACAGTGACCAGATAACGTTTAGCCAGGACAGGGTGGTTGAGATCTGTGGTTCAGGGTCTGTATTGCAGGATATCCTATGGATGGGCCTCTTGCTTTGCAACACAGATCAGCACGGTGACAAAACGCTGTACACTTTCCCACACCAGCTGCTGCAACAGTTCCTGGCATCACACTACGTTGTTCATCACCCACCCATGTACCCCATCTGTTGGACCAAGTGGTGCGACACGAAAAAGTACGAAATGGTCTGCATCTTTGTGGCCGGGCTGGCCAGTGCAGAGAAATGTGGGAACTTCTTCGAGGTTTTTGAGAAATGTCATCAAGTTATGTTAGAGGAAGGGAAGAAAGGTGATTGTTCTCCATGTTGTATTGACAACTGTGCTCTCTTGGCGTGTTGCTGCTTAGGAGAAGTCAGCCGCCCTTTGGACTTTGCCGACAAAGTAGCCAAGTGTCTGTCATGTCAGAAAGAAATCTGTGTCAGGATTTTTCATAGAGATGGGGATTACTTCAAAAGCCACACATTGGGTGCCTTGGCAATGGTGATCTCTGCACTTTCCAAAGAGATGGAAAAAAGAGGTACTGACATGAACTTGACAGCACTTCGTCTTGTCAAGTTTGATGCAAGAGATCAGTTAGGGGTTACCAAACTAGCAGAGGCAATTAGGTCAGCAAGGTTCCTGCAGACTCTTGAGGTGTCGCTAACAGGGATGGATTGTATGGGGACAGACAGTGTAGCTGTGTTGCAGATCTTGAAGGCTATACAGGAGTCAGAGTGGGTCCAAGAACTTATCCTTGAGGCACACATTGATGCAATGAGTGAGCAAGTTGTCATGGCAGTACCTGAAGTCTTTAAAAACAAAGGTATCAAAGTTTTCAAGTTAATGACTTTATTCCCTAACAAATGTCCTCCATCCTGCATAAAACGAAGGGAAAACGAAAATGACACTTGTCCCGAGGAAGCAAAGACGAAAGAATTTGTTGTAAAGCTTGCAGACGCTCTTAAATCCAGCAAAGTTACACAGCTGTATCTGCCTGACAATCTGCTCACTGGCTTTGCACTGCCCCACACGGCCAAAGCACTGACCTGCCACCCCACGCTCAAACATTTTAGTGTCTCAGGCTACTTCAATGGAACAGATGCAATAGATGGCATCTCTTTGGAAGCCCTGACCAAACTGATTGAGCACAATCCACAACTAGAGGCATTTTGCCTGTCCTCCATGGCACTGGCCCACACTTTAATGGCAACACCCATCGAAGAGATGGGACCGTTTGCAGAAGCCTTGAGCAAGGCACCTAACTTGTCAACATTGAAGTTGAACTTGAGGTGGATGTTTCCAGGCACCATGCGCCTGTTTGCAGGGGCAGTAGGAAACTCTTCTCTCACCAATGTGGAACTCTCTTGGCATAAGATGACGGGAACATTCCTGTCCTTGCTTGCAGGCTATCTGACGAGCTCCAAAACCCTATCCACACTCCATCTCAATGGAGCATTTCAAGCAGGGAAAGGCCTCACAGCTTTCATTCTTGCAGCAGCGAGTAGCCCTGTCCTTTCCTCTGTAACTCTGTCAGGAAACCCCATTCATACAGAAGTCCTGAAAGCTATTGCTAAAACAGTTAGCAACTGGAGTCTCAGTGACTTCACCAAGCCAGCGATCACACTAACTCTTGGTGGCAGAATTGATAACTCAGTTGAAGAAGCCAGTCAGTGGTACAATGTGACAACGACCGATGAGCTTGACAAGAAAAAAAGAACGAGGCAAGACGAAATTCAAAGTGCAATCAATGCAGTCTGTCAGGTCCAAGGGCCACTGATGAAGCAAGGGTCCAAATATTGTGTCTGGGTTACTTCAGAGTTCCATGAAGGGGACTACACATTTACAACAGTGATTCATGTGGATGGAAGCCTACAGCGACAAATGGTAGAGGACCACTTTGCCTCATAGATGTGAAGTACACACATGTGCAAATGGCAGCTATACTCAATCCTTAGTTTGAACAAATTACTATTTAGCATCTAACTTATACACAACAATTATACCTCAATAACTGTCTTTCATCAGGGCAAGCTATATACAACTTTTATTCCTCACTACTTTCTGTAGTATCAAATGTATAATAATGTTATACATGTACATTGTATACTTTTTTGTTAAGAAGTAACAAACTGGCAAATTGGTTTCTTAGGATTTAAAGAAATTGTGAAAAGGTGAAAAAAATGGAAGAACACTCATGAACAGAAATAAAAACAAAGAATTGTCAAAGAATGTTCTTACCTTTTTTATATGCTCATTTGTGTGCCAGCCCTTGCTAAATTTACTACAGAATTTCTATAGTCATTGTAGTGTGTTGCTGCAAAATAATAGATCATGGTTATAATAGTATTGTAAAGAGAAAATGTTTTGTGAAGTATGCCAAGAGGTTTTACAAAATGTAGTTTGTTGTGTGAGTATTGTTACATAGGGGTTGTCTTAGGAGCAGTGTATAAATTGTCAAGTTGTTAAGGATGTCATTTTCACAAAATATAAGCAATGTGCAGGAGTGTAATAAATATCAAATACTGTACTGTATTAGATCTACATGTAATAGAGCAGTTTTATTTTCATAATAAATCACAGATGCATATATTTGATACTTTTGTAAAACTTGAAGTAATTGTTGAAAATTTGTGCTACATGTATATGCCAAAAACATTTAGATAAAACAAGAAAATGATATTGGTGTAAAGGTTGTGCATTGCCTTTTATCATTATATTTGTTGTGACTTGCAATAATATAATTGATTTGTCTTTTGTATGTGATGCAGAGAAGAAAATGTCTCTATATGAAGCAATGAATAAGACATGAACTAAAGTCTTTCTAGTACATGTAGAAGAATACCATGTATAGGAAGACAACACCACACATGCCAGTGTATTTGTTCACACATATGTATTTAGATGTATGTTTTGTTTTGTTGTTATGCCTGGTGTAAGATTATGGTAATCACTACCTTGCAATCTGATGGGTGATGATCTTGTAGTTTTGTCGTATACAAGTACAAATAAAGGTAATTTCCTCTAAAAAAAAGGCCTTGGGTATAGCCATAGACATGTTTTGTTTGTAAAGAGAAGACTTCTTTAAGTAATGTTGTCGATATGAACAAGTATGTAATGTATTGTACAGAATTGTGGACTCCTTGTCAGATACTATTGAACACTGTTGTAGAAATGGGTAACAGACTACTAACAGTCAAAGGGAAATTAAGTGTTTTTTTTTCATTTTTTCGGTGTACAATCTGAATATGATCATACAGCTGCCTTGTCCAGTAATAACAATATGAGAGGCAATACAAACTATTGCCATGGCAACATTTGAATGTTATTGTACGTGTTGTTTTATGTAAGACAAAAATTTTTACATAGTATTGCAGTTTTTTCTTCTATATACATGTTGCCAAACTGAAATGATTCTTTTGTTTGAAGAGCAAAAGTGTACTGCTAACCAAATGTTGTTGTGTCTGATATTGTTTTTTGGGTTAACACCTAACAAAGCAGTCTCCCTTACTTTTTGGATAAACAGATGCCCCTTAGTCCTGCATGTTGGGAACAACATACTTCCAGGGACACAGACAGATGTTCGAATTTGTGGAAAGTAGCAGACATATTTGTAAAGTAGCTAGAACTTCTGCAGACTGACTACAAATTATACTATTAGGCTCACCCCGGAGGCATCGCCAAAAAACATCTAGATGAGCATGACTGACACTGCCATAAGAAAAAAAATTGACACCAAAATGTATGTTAGGCTTAGCTATACATACAATGCAATGTATCACAAATATCACCTCTTAATTACTACACACTATCACTACGATTAGCATTTAGTAATATCTCCAGAGTCCTGACTATAAAATGACAAGATGCAAAGTGGCACACAGACTTCACAGGCACAGTCTATAGGAGATATATCTCCCCGCCGTCTCGCTGGGACGTATAATCTTCACCACCTGCCCGCGCTTCAGTCCGAAATACCGCGCCACGGGATCGCCCGCCTGGATGCGCGGCAGCTGGTGTTCCTTCAGTCTGTACCGCGCCAAGAGTTCCGCCTTCTCCTCGGGCGTCATGACCACGTGTTCCGGCACCAGCTGGTGTTCTGTGATGTTGATGAGGAGTTCCGACTCCAGAAACTGTTCCAGGATGTACTTGGGGGCCATGTCTACTAGGGCCTGGGGGGGAAAGAAGAAACATCTTATGAAGTGATAGGAAATTAGAAGGTATAGATCAAAGGTTTCAGATGCTGTCTCCTATATGTAGACGTACAGTAAATCCCACTGCCATCATCAGTTTAACAGATAGCTCTGGCCTTCATTTCAGTCTGGTAAGTCTAAAAGTTTCAGCCAGAGATTTCCATTAAATTAAACAGAAACTTAAAAGTCTATATGTCCATTGATTACATCCATAATTTTTACAAAAAAATATACAAAATGGAGGAAATATAATTTTTTTAGCTATTTCAATCAATTCAATATAAGATTTTTGTGTAATATTTCTGTTTCTTTGATTTAAATACCACTAAGCTTTGTACCCTGAAATGTCTATATATTTGTCACATACTTGGTAGACTGACAAGAAAGGAGCCCCCACCACAAAGGCCACAGTAAAACAAACCTGTTTAGCGGAAGGCGTCATGCCCATCTGTACCACGATGATGGCCCTGGAGATGTTCTCCTCCTGCATCCGCTGGCAGTACATCTTGATCGTCTTGATGCCGATCTTCGGCTCGTCCGCGAAGAACACGAACATCTGGTCGGTCGGGTCGTCGTTGTGCGCCACCAGGACCACCAGGTCCTTCCGCGCCGGTTTCCCCTCGCTGGGCTTGTCTCCGAACTGGTCCTTGAACTGCTCCAGTCTCTGGTCCAGCTCGTCTTGCGTCACCAGGTAGCCGCGGTCGTGACAGAGCTGCATGATCGTCTTGCGGATCCTCCACAACTTATAGGTCTCTTGTTCGTCATCCATGGCGTTTTTGGTTTAAGATTCTAGTTTATAAATCTTGGAAGAACACTCGTCAAGAACGCTTCCACCAAGCGCGCGCAAGCCTCGCTAAATTGCGGATACTGTAACCTTTCACCCGGAAATAGAAATTTAACCAATCACCATTGCTGTTACATTGCAATGCGGCCAAATCGACCAATGGCAACGTTTGTAGTGTGGCTCTCTTGGAATTGCATGCTGGGGTCTACGCAGACGATCGGCTACCACATTTTGACAAAGAAATCTTAGTTTTGTTGGCCTCAGAAAACACACATAATCTCCCATCATGGGAGTTCCGGCCTTCTTTGCCTGGCTGAGTAAGAAGTACCCCAGCATCGTGGTGCACTGTGTGGAAGAAAAGGTTTGTAGATCGTTTTGTATTCGAGTTTTGGTTGAAACTGGAATGGGGGAGGGGGGCAAAGCTAGCCATCTACACGTAACATGTGCTACGGCTTGCTAATGATCATCATATGTAAATGTTTCAAAACTGAAGGATATCTGACTTGTGCAACTCTTGGTTAGAATCTAACATTATGTGTCCTTGCAGCCCAAGGATGTGAACGGAGTGAAGATCCCAGTAGACATCAGTAAGCCCAACCCGAACGATGTGGAGTTTGACAACCTGTACCTGGACATGAATGGCATCATTCATCCATGTTCACATCCTGAGGACAAGTGAGTTATACAACAGTGACTGTGACAGTGTGTTTTAATTATTACCTTCGACAATAACTTGAAGAACGTTATGTTTTTTTTTTGTAGTAGCCTTTGTTTGAATGTATGCAATAATACAATTATGTTTGGATGGCATGTGGTTTATAGTAGCATGATAACTCAAACTTAAAGGTGTGGATGGATTGTCATCAAATTTGGTACGTGGGTAGGTCTTGGTGGCTTGTTAAAGTACTGCAGCAGAACGTCAGGTTTTGATATGTCATGATCTGGACAGTACTTAGCTTCTGTTTGGAAGCTCCTCTCAGATCTGATATAAACCAGGAGATCCCATGTTGGAGGAGAGCAAAACCTTGAAGAACCCTTATTGAGAGTCACTAAGGGCCCCATCTTGATGTGACTGTGAGTGGTTCAAATCTGGTCATACATAGCAGCAGTCAGCTGGTACTACTAGTCTACTACTACTCAGAGTAGTAAAAATACTAATCAGTGTGTCCTACATGTACATGTAGTGCTATTGCACCTAATGGCAGTTTACTATTTAACGTTACATGATGAAACAAACAAACAAATTATACATGTACAGTTGAAGATTCTTTAGTTAACTCAACAATTTTTCTCAGACCTGCTCCCAAGAACGTGGATGAGATGATGATTGCCATCTTTGAGGCGATCGACAGAATGATGGCCATCGTTCGTCCCAAGAAGCTCCTCTACATGGCGATTGACGGGGTGGTAAGGACACAACTTCTGACTCATCTCAATACTGCTATATACTGCTATATGCATGTGTGTTTTTTTAGTCACAGAGAATGGGATTACAGGTCAGAATCTTGAAATACTTGGTGCATGCAAAACTGGAGCTGTGGCCTAATTTTTTACCATGGTTGCACAGGTGCAACTTTGTTTACCTTATGTTAAGTTTCCATTGATTCTGCCAGTTGTTTTGGACATGTTCAAGGTTTATGTCCAGCTCTGACATTGCCAGTACAATGTATTTCACTAGTATTTCAGTTACTGAATTGACTGCATATTTTTTCCATACTGCAGGCTCCGAGGGCAAAGATGAACCAACAGAGGAAGAGACGTTTCTTTGCTGCTAAGGAAAGCAGGTCTGTTACATGTTGTTAGACTGTGTATGATTGCACCTTTTCTTATCATACATGTGCACTTTAACTCATACATGTACAAATTATGTTGATTGATTCATTAATTTATGTTGACAATTTTGTAGTTTTCCATATGCAAATCTCACAACAATGAACCTTTATTTCAAAATTACGCTAATAGTGAAATGAGTACTTTTTGGTATGTACAGTGATATAATAGTAGACCTCACTTAAGTCAAAGGTAGTATCCTGCTATGGTTTTAGAATGTTGTCTACTTCTCCTCAGAGATGGGAAAGAGGAACTGGCCAGGATACGTGAAGAGCTGGAGGGACAGGGTATCCAGCTTCCCCCAGAGAAGACCAACCAGGAACACTTTGACAGTAACTGCATCACTCCAGTAGGTAACCAGTGTGTTTCTCACACTGAACATGTCAATATGTAGATTCTAGTTCCAATCAAATTGCTTGTTACAAACTGGTTTGGATTTAGTGTATGACTTTGCTTGAGCCGTCTGTTGTCCTTGTTTTAACTTTATTTAGACTCACAACCAGCTTCAGTTTACACTGGTTGCTATTCTTCCTGTGGTCCCATACATCTATACATAATATCACAAATGAGACAGATGCATGTAGACTACAAAATAATAATCATACACATAACATATACCATACATAATGAGAATTAAAATACTCTGCCTCTAGACCAAGAAGTTTGGAGTGTAAAGTTGTTGTTGCTCATCTGACATGCATGCTACTGAAAAGGTTCACAGTCCTTAGGATCCATTGCTCATTGTGCTTGTCAAAAAGATCTAAGGGGAATTTCCCAGTAAATGTACAATAAACCCGTAAATGCTACATAGATAGCACCTGTCTTTTCTGTCACGACCAATGAACTAATAGCTCTTCTGTGAGCTAAACTGGTTTGAGATGACATTCTTTCACTTTTCTCAAAACGACTACAAATCTTTTTTATTATGTCAGTTTTCTAACCCAAACACTCCATCCCCAGGGTACAGAGTTTATGCACTACCTGTCCACCTGTCTGCGCTACTACATCCACGAGAGGCTCAACAACAACCCTGGCTGGAGAAATGTTAAGGTCAGGTTCAGTAAATAAAGATAACAGTTAAGCAGTTCAAGCCTCATCATTTATCTCTTTCATCCGAACAACTAGGTAACCCCCAAAGACGCTTTATAATTTCCATCACAAGATCTTGAGAAAATGATACAACTTGTAATTACAAGGGCACCTTTTCGTATTGTGACATATCAAAGAGAGTAAACCATTTTCATTGATGCCAACTGGAATTGTACAACAAACAAATATATTATATTTATTATGTCATGTAGGTTATCTTGTCTGATGCCAATGTACCCGGAGAGGGAGAACACAAAATCATGGACTACATCAGGAGACAGAGAGGTAGGGACATGGAAAAACATGTGATCTTTCTAACATCTTTCATCAAGCACATGGAGATAGAAAAAAATTCTAATAAACATTGAAGCATACCTTATAAACATTAGACATACACCTGTACATACTGTACATGTAGTACTTTGCGAGTATTGATCATTAACATTTATGTAGTTACATGTGGATGCATGTACCTGTAGTTCTTTACATGTATTTTCCTAAATCCTTATAATATAAATATAGTTCATGCCTATATATGAGTGAATTGTTTTAATGTTACATGGTACATGTTTTATTCCAGCCCAACCTGACCATGACCCCAACACTCACCACTGTCTGTGTGGTGCTGATGGTAAGTACAGAAAATTTTCACACAAATTGGGACACCAGCATAACCACTGACAGCATTGGCCTCACCTGAAAACATTCTATATCAGAACAACTAGTCTACCCTAATTTTCCCTCAAAAATTACAAGGACTAAACTTAGTATACTACATTCTTTTGTACTATGTTTCTAATTCATTCCCTTCCATTCAATTATTTGATATAGCTTGTTATTGAAGATCTAATGAAAAATTGTTACGTGTCCATCGCAGCTGATTTGATCATGCTGGGCCTGGCCACACACGAGCCTCACTTCACCATCATCAGGGAAGAGTTCAAGTATGGCAAACCCAGACCTTGCAAGCTGTGTAACCAGTTAGGTGGGTGTCTTTGCTTCTATTACTTCCAGAATGGAAGTATTGTTTTTGGTTGCATTAGTTGATAGTTTGTATGTTTGCATTGAGTCTCCACCGAGTTTGTGGTTAAAACTGTTTTGCCTCTTGTTCCAGGTCACGAGGCGAAGGAATGCCAAGGGTTGCCAAAAAACAAGGATGGGGAGGTAAGTCCTTAACCTTCAGGCTGCTAAGGTAGCAATTTGGCACCACATTTTTATTGGTTACAGGATTAAACAGCAGGAAGAAGGTTATTGAGAAGACGTGCTGAAGATTACTGCTATGAATACAGTTAGACATGAGTGTTACATTACATTACATACATCATATTACATTACATACTGCTAGGCCAACAGAAGTTTTAACATTGCTGTAAATGTATAATGGTGGTGGTGTCAAGTGCTTAGGCTAGCAGACACAACATCGAGAGGTCCGGGGTTTAATTCCTGGAATTCCTGACTAGACGTTGTGTCCTTGGGAAAGGCATTTTACACAACTTTTCTCACTCCATCCAGGTCTAAAATGGCTTTGGTCAGGGAATTAAAAGGCAGTGAAAGAGGCCAATACCATAACCAAGGCAGTGTGTAGCACACTTGTGTAGCACACTTGTCGAAAGTTGTAAAATTGTAATGTTTTGATAGATGTATCAATTTCTAAATGTTTCAGTTTGATGAGCTGGCCCCCATTATGGGAGAGGAGGCCACCTTTATCTTCATCAGACTTAATGTACTGAGGGAGGTGGGTAATCTATTGCTGTGAAGTTTTTTGGCATATTTACATCAATTCTATGTTATAATTGTCCATACATTGTTAGAAACCCCACATTTTGCTAATGTGCTGTATTAAGAACTTGAATATACTTATCCTCATTTTGATTATTAAGTCATAGCCATACCTAAACTATTCCTATTTTTTCATATTACAGTATCTCGAACAAGAAATGATGATCACTGGTTTGCCCTTCCCATACGATTTAGAGGTAGGTAATTATGGTAAATATTTATACTTAGTTAAAAGATCTTTGATACCGATGCCCTTTTTAGTGGCATGGTTCGCCTCTCTAAGCAGTAACACATAATGTTGTAGTTTTCAAGTTCAATACCAACATGTAGTACATTTCTTTGTTGTAGTATTGTTTTCATATTGGTTATCAAGTTAAATCTGATTACATGTAATCCTTATACTTTTTTGCACTTTGTTGACAGAGAGCGATTGATGACTGGGTCTTCATGTGCTTCTTTGTGGGGAACGACTTTCTACCTCACCTGCCTTCACTACAGATCAGGTCAGACATTCATTTATTTACACTAAAGTTTGCCACATTTTTTTCCAATCTGCAAAATATAAAATTTCATGGAGAATTGTTGCCTATAACTACTTGTTCATCGTTGGAACAATTATTTGTACTTTCACAGAGAGGGAGCCATTGACAGGTTGATAAGAATATACAAGAGGACCATACACAAGACTGGGGTCAGTAGATGCGGGACAGCACCTCGACAGAACGTACTGTACCTGCACGAAATCCGTAATGTATTGTATATCATTGCAATATGGCAGATCAACTCTTAGGTGTACATGTATATTGGTTGTATTTGCATATTCAAGAATGACATCCCATCCGTACCTGTTAATTTTCAAATGTTGTGTTGGAGAAGGTTTCATCAGCAACAAAATTCTGATGCAATGTTGACCAAACATCCAACAAAAACTGGAATATCCGGGTTTCGTGCAGGCAAAGTACAGGTTTGGCCCAAGCTTGGAAGAATTATGTTACATGTATACTCTACATGTATATAGAATCTACTTAAAGGGATAGAGAAGAGAAATGGTGATATATGTTACCATTTATGGGCTCAACTATTTCATGAATGGGTGAAGTCTGCCATCTCTGATTGGCTTAGTCTTTAGATTAAAAGAATTCTTTATTTTGTCTCACACAGGGGTACCTGACAGACAATGGTTTAGTAAATCTGAGTAGAGTACAGGTCATTCTTACAGGTACGTGGATAAGTGTAAAAGGTGGAATTGCTTTCAAAATACATTGTGCCTGTATTACAAAATTTAATCGAATTTTTGCTGATGCATTTTACCTGATGGTAATGAATTCTTTTAATACTCTACAGAATTGTGTACAAATTAATGTAGTTAGTTTTCATGCATCATGTAATTTAGTGGGTGCTTTCTTCATTTTGCAGAACTAGGGAAAGATGAAGATGAGATATTCAAGAAAAGACAGGAAAATGAGGTAAGATTGTGTGTCTTCCGTCCAAAAATAGTGTGTCTTTCAAAACGTTTGCAAATCTTATTTTATCTTAAGTTTCTATTGTCATTGATCAAATATTGTCACCTTTTTGTACTTCAGCTGAACTTCAGGGCAAGAACCAAGGCAAGGAAGAGAAGGGAGAAACAACAGAGGATGGTATGTCAAAGGTCATCTTTAAGGCATTTCACTCATTCACTCAAGTCACAATCATGTCTACTTTTTTGTTGTAAGCTAAACTCAAGGGTTTGTTGTTTGTGTTACAGATGCAGGGTAGACCTGCATGGACCCCAGATGGGCAGTTTTCACCACAGGTAACCGTGCACCTTTTGTCTGCTCCTAGTCACTTGTACCAAGAGTATTTATTTGGGGATAAGTCATTCATATCCAAACTGGTGTCATAGTAGTAATTTAGTGTGTTGTAGTCTTAGCGCTTGCTTTGCATTTGGATGGTCATGGATTCAAACCCTAGCCTGATTGTACCACAGACTTTAAAATTGTATGGTCTACTTTTTATGCTTAGCACTCAGCACTCAGCACTAAAACACATAACTGTTACACTACCCGTGGACTTGCCTCCTGCTTTAGTGCTTGCATGGCTGTGTGGCCCAAGGGCTATGATGGTGATGGGCATCGCCCTATAGACTTAAAGGTGTGGGAAGGAGTTTGACTTTTAAAGCTTAGTAGCAGCTTCTTAACCTTTAGCACACTAAAGTAGCCCTTTGGCTACTAATTCTCTATTGGTACTGGGGTGAGGCAGCAGGGAGAAGGTCAAAGTTAAGATGTAACGTCTAACTTCTTTATTGTCATCTGTCCCTGACAGCCCATAGGACAGACTCCATCCCCTATCCACAACCCTCGCCAGGCTGCTGCACAGGGGAGGATGGACTCTGCCAACAAGGTAACAAACTGACCATTCTACTAGTGTGTACCTTGAGAAGAATTCTTGCTGAAATATGGTGTAAAGGGCTTGAAATACTTTTTTTTCTGCATAGATGCACAGGTGCAGGTCACCAGACATTTTACCTGCACTACTCAGATTTTTGCTAAACACTGTTCAGAAACCATTGCCAGTACTGTAATTCACTTTATGTTCACGGTAGCAAAATTTCACGGTCTGAGAAAAATGGACATGTTCACGGAACTATACGTTCACGGTGGTGACAGGCGTAGGAAAAAGAAAGTCCAGGAATTATTTGTTAACTGTAATGATAAGTTCACTGTACAGAAGCAACAGTGAAAACAGTGAACTTATCAGTACAGTGAACAAATCAGGAATTACAGTATTTCTTTTATACTTAACAGGTGGTAACAGTTAATGCTGCAAATAAAAATCCATGTACACCTATGTATATACAAACTGTATATTAACCCAGGACATGTGCAGGTAGACATCACAAAAACCTACACAGCTTCAATTTCCCCTGCACTAACCTGCATATGCAGGTGGTATTTTGAGCCCTGTTACTGTATATCAAAGGTGATATTGCACTGTCTTAATGGGAGAACATGGTTCTTTTGCAGAGAGCTGCAGATGACCTAAGGAATATGCTCGCTCGCAACGGGGAACAGGTAAGAAACAGTGAAATGTTTGCACGTTGGCAGAATGTACAACCATTTATGTCATACCTGGGCTGCCATAATGTTTGATGCGGATGTTCTGGCCCGTGTGATAACTAGCTTTACAGCCTGGGGTTCTATCTGGCAGATGATATCTTTCCTGACACAACATGTGCTTTGACTCTAGACTCCAGACAGGACTCCAGGAAGCAGAGGCAGCACCCCCGGAAGTGGGGGGTTCAAGTCACCGGCCCCCCAGACCCCCTACAGCATGCAGTACACCCCCCGCAGTGGGGAGAAGAGAAAGGCTGATCAGGCTGAGCTGGACAGTGATGAGGAGCCAGAGCCTGAAGATGACGTCAGGTAGGACGAGGGAGGGACTCTTTTGTTGATCTCTTTACTTCAACTCAAGACAGAGCCTTTATATGATTATTGTTAGATGCAATTTCATTTGAATTTTCACTCATTGTAAGGTTATTGTAGGGGATATCATATACTAGTATGCAGATTTTTTTCAGTGACTGATAGATAATCAGTGGCAAAGAAATCAAAATCCTTTTTTTTTTGTGTTCTTGTGTGCCATCACAGTACGCAGAAATCAGTTGTTCACCAACACTGCATCCTTGACCTGCAATGTTACACTAAGCTGACAGGGGGCAGTTTTGATCCATGTGTATGTTCACAAGAAGTTGCAATATGAATCAGATGGAATATCTTCTATGTGTAAGAAGTGCTTTTATGTTTTCAGGCTGTGGGAGGATGGCTGGAGGGAGCGATACTACGTAGCTAAGTTTGATGCCGACCCAAATGATGAGGAGTTTCGCCACTCTGTGGTATAAAACCATTCTTTCATTTTCATAAGATAAGTTCTGTAAAAAGTTTTATTGCTTCTATTGTGACAGTTTAACTTGCCTATTTCTAGAAGATTCTTAGAAGATAACTACATGTTTTTTTCAATGATATCATCCAGGCTGCTGCCTACACAGAGGGACTTTGCTGGGTCATGCTGTACTACTACCAGGTATCTACTAGATCATCTACTCTTCTATGTCTAAATAGTTTGCTTGACATTGTCTACTAACAGTTGCAGTGTATATTTTTTTACATATGATAATGAATGTGCAACAATGTAATTTATGATCAACAATGAAGTACATGTACATTGTACACATTGTATTTGTTTGTATTTGCCTGATGTAGCTTGATACAATTACCTTGGCATACAATACACGCTGTAGATTGAGTACTGTATATAACAAAGTTGCCACATGCAATGGGGTATTGGGTTGTAATGTAATTTTCTGTACCTGTAATGCACACTGAAGTCAACAGAGAGAGTAGCTGTAACATTTCTGACTACAGTTTAGCACCATTTTCATTCTTTTCACCAAAAACCAAAAGAGACAAAGGTTTGACTTAAGGATTGCCATGATGACTGTGAACAATCTGAAAATTATGGAAGATTCTTTTAACTCATTGACAAATGCAATCTATTGCAATTATATGTATTTATTACGGTAACCATATTACACATGTCTGGCATATTTTTCAGGGCTGCCCATCGTGGAAATGGTTCTTCCCCTTCCACTATGCTCCCTTTGCCTCCGACTTTGTCAACATTGGTGATCTTCCCAACACCTTTGAGAAGGGGACCAAACCTGTAAGTTGTCTTCTCTGTCTTTGTGCTTGTCACAGATGTCTATTTATAGGAAATATCGCAAGCATAGTGATGCATACCGGTTCACTGGACTTGATCCGGACTTGTAAGAATGTTTAGGTTCAAGTCCAAAAAAACCTAAAAGTCAAGAACCGAGTCCGGACTTATTATCATAAAAGACCATTTCACATACCCACACACACATTTCTTTCCAAACCACCTAAAACCTTCAGTAGATTGTAAAATCTTTGCTGCAAAACGAAGAAAATATTGCCATCGGGCATCGTCAAGTACTGGCCTCCATGTTATGTGGCCAAAGTTTCACCCAGACAACATTGCAAGGTTGCCAACATGCAATTTTGTATATGCCATGGGTTTAGGTCCGGATCTGAACCTAAACCTCTAGACTTGAATCCAGACCTGAACCTAAAATTGGGTTTAGGTATGCATCACTACGCAAGCAAAAATGCTTCTTTACTTTATGTTATTAATTGTAGGGGGAGGAGGATCTGTATCAGTACATGTATTTGTAAATGTGATACATGTACATGTATAGTCAGTATAACTGCCCTTCAGTGCAACATACCAGATTTGCTGTAACACGGCAAGGCGGCAGCCAGCTATATTACACTGAATGACTTGTTACACCTAACCTTTGCACATCTAACTGTAAGCGTTGTTTAAAGCTACAAATGTATCTAGTGATGATGCCCCTACTGTACTTTGGTGGCAGGTAGATATCAGAAATACCTGCACAACTCCAATTTTACCTAAGCTAACCTGCATGTGCAGGTTCAAGCCCTGGTATACCTGTGTTGCGAATGTCCTGTAGTCTGGTACACTTATTCATGAACTTAGACATCAGAAACAGCTTCCCTCACTTTATAGTGCAGCTCCTAATTTTCCTCCCATCTAAAGTCAACATCCTGTCCCATCCCGCTCATTTGCCGGGCCACTTGTGCGTGTTTTCCCGCACTCTGAAGCACCGCCGCGCCACTCGTGAAGGTGTAGCCCATTTCCTTTCCATTAAAGCGAAATGCGGCGGCTGCTTAGACTTTTAGAGCGCGCCGTGTCAATCATTCCGATCAGGTATGATCCGACGCCCAATGCCAAAAATTGTAACAAGTGGGTCTGTTTGATTCTGAACATTCAAGTACGCATCCCGTAACTTCTAACCTGTTTTGATCCAGCTACACCATAACCACATACATATGTACAGGAGTGGCTTTGAAATTCAATACATGTAGAATTTGCTTTCCTTAATGATATGCAACAGCAAGACAAGCCTTGCAACACATATGTTCGAAATACATGTACTTCAGGGAGAAAGCAATTACTTGTAAAGTAACTGTACTGTGGTTTGACCTCAAGTAAACTCTTATTAGGCAGAATGCCCTGGCCCATTTTTCTGAATTTACTTTGGGTTCTTGTATCTAAGTGGTATATGCATGAATGTGAGTGCTTATGAAGCGTGAATATGGCATATTCTCAGACAGACATTATTTTATTGTTGCCTTTTGTCATCGTTCAATGCATCTTAATATACATGTATATTTAGTAATGATTGTTATTGACTATTGATATAAATATGTGATATTGATATCAAAATCACAGAACACAACTCTGGGGCCTGCCAGGGATTCGAACCCACAACCTTCAGATTCAGCAACCCAAACCACAAGACCATCTACCCTCTGCCGGGAATTCGAACCCAGAACCTTTGGATTCAACAATGTGTAACAATTCCTGTTGTTCTTCCACAGTTTAACCCCCTGGAACAGCTGATGGGAGTGTTCCCTGCCGCCAGTAAACAGTTCCTCCCGACATCATGGGCTGAACTCATGATCAAGCCGGTACGTTTATAAGATTTTATTTATTTCGATTTACAGTAGTGCAATGAAGGGGGAGACAAAACAAATGATTTTACTCACCTTTAAAAGTCCCCCGGCAACAAACAGAAATGCAATGAAATGAACAATATGCAATGTCATACGTGTATTAAGCAATGATAATTATCTGATTCAATACAAATAGTTAAAGCATGGACAAATTACAAACAAAATATTACCATAACATAATTATGTACCTGTTCAGCCTGGCCTCAAAGCCAGCTGTAATGATCATCTGTATATATCATAACTGTCTAACAATGACAAGATATAACTTCAGCTCTCTTAAAAAATTAGAAATTAGATAGTATCATTGAGGCCTCAAGAATGTGTTAAACACCTGGATATCTGAAGTGTACATGTATATCTCAGGGATTACTGAATCTTGTTACTATGTTACATTAATAGAACTTCAAATTGACCTTTTTTTCTTGATAAGGTGATTTAGGGTACCTGGTAGAATTATGAGAGTTGAAACTACATGTACATTTACATGTACCGTATTATGATATGAGTTGTCTTTGCAATGACTCTCAGGCTTTTTACTTTATAAAAGGGAAGAAACAAGCCATCTTCATGTTTTTGAGAGCATTCGTCTAAGGGTATTGTGCATTTTATGTCTCATCTCAACACACATATGAAAAACACTTAGGGGTCTCCCCAGAAATTCTTAGAGGAAAGGTACTCCCTAATCGGTTGATGAAAAAATGAGCAAATGTTCATGAAAAACTGAGAGAAAACCCTTAATGTGAAATGTTTTGGAGCAGTGCTAGGAATTTCGGATAGAGGGGGGAGCACCCTTGCTTCATTCCTTGGGGGAGAGCCTGAGAGACTTTATTTTGTATCATCAAGACTTTTCCCGGCACACCCAAAAGTCATTGGGAATTCCGTGGAAGCGATGCCGCAAAGTGCTCTAGACTTAGATGTCCTCAATTACGACGGGCCGCTCGGTTCGCACACTCGTAGCATGAAGTGTCCACGTTGCCCGCACATGTCGGTACGCCAAGTACGATTCCGCGCCCAGTGTTTTACCCACACGAGCCATCAAGGCACTTGAAGGGTTCTCTCGAGTGTGTACCAAATGGTTTCGCGCCATCTACACTATTGCCTTTTGATGTGTTTTTTTGTGTTGAGATCGTGCCAATATTAATAAATGCCTTTCTGAATATTCTTTAACATGGAGGAATGCTATTTGTGATACAGTATTTCGAACGTCATTGAAAGCTAGTGAAGGCTTTTAAGCATCTATATATGTATTTCAGAAAAGCACTTTAACTTTAGGGTGTTTTTCAACACTAGTATGGCTTTAGCTCTTAAGTGCCAAATGTTGTAAAACTGTTCAATTAGATCATAACATTACAAAGTTTAAATTTAGGACACTTTCACATCAAGTTAACTGTCACAGTAACAGTCACTACAGTACTGTTTTACATGTAGTAGACGAAGTGTAGAATTTGTTATCTAGTAATGATCTGTCAAATCTTCTACCACAGTTATATTACGGTTGAACAATTGAACCATTGTCACTCTAAGGATACTTCATAATACCAGATTTTCTGTAGTTACTAAGCAAGGATAGAACACCAAGGGTTACTGTAATTCACTTTATGTTCACGGTAGCAAAATTTCACGGTCTGAGAAAAATGGACATGTTCACGGAACTATATGTTCACGGTGGTGACAGGTGCAGAAAAAAGAAAGTCCAGGAATTATTTGTTAACTGTAATGATAAGTTCACTGTACAGAAGCAACAGTGAAAACAGTGAACTTATCAGTACAGTGAACAAATCAGGAATTACAGTAATGATTTGTATCCATTCTTTTCTCTCTGAAAATGGTGATGGAAAGATTTACATTGCTGTTCAATATCCCATGTTAGATAATTTTTTTTATGATATGAAACAGTATATTTATTTTTCAGCTCTCATCACTTGAAATTTTAGGCACCAAATTCCTGTCACGCATTTGTACATGTACCTTGTTGTTTAGACATTCAGTCCTTTATGTAACAGTTGCTTAATTTGATATATTTACACACAATCGAGTCTGAAAAGTATACATACATTTTGCATTGTTGAATGAAGCTTGACACTATCAATATACATGTTGTACAGTCCTTCTGTTAACTGTATAAAATGGACAAGTGACAATGTCCTTCGTAAAAGCTATTCACGTTGTTTGTGTAAAGATAAAGACCAGTTTGCTGTAATAAGGACTGGTGACAAATATCGATCGTTCTGTTAACATTCAAAAGGGCACGTCGTGGAGTCAACGGGTCATGGCTTCTGTGAGGAAGGGAGGATAATTACGGCTTTCAAATCCTCCATTTTCTCCGACCGAGGGACGGAAAGGAGCACTTTGATGCCAGGCTAATGGGAATGTGGTCATTGTCGGATGTGTGGAGATGTAATGGTCACGAGCGTTACTGTGCCTGGTTGTGCTTTCTTCCGTCTAATGGAGATGTGCTGTCAGTAACACTCATGGTTTTAGTTTTACACACACCTGTCTTAAAATAACAACTGTTTGTGAGTGCTGCTCAGTTGTGAAAAAAAAAGCAGGGGATCACAAATGGCAATCCAGATGTCAGTGCACCCAGAAACCAAGCTATGCCCTTTTTAATTTTACAGAGATGTTTTCTAGATTTTGTTATTTACCTTTATTAAAATCCTTGATGATCTAGTGGCAGATCTACCCAGTGCTCACAGATGTAGGTGTATCAGTGTTTTAACCCATCAACATGATAAATTATACAATGTACTGTCAAACCTGTAAAATTGACCACCTCTACATAAGAACCACCTGGCCAATGACTTATTGGTGGTCCCATAGATAATATTTTTCCCATTGACACAATCATTAAGAATCCTGTCTATGGTGACCACCTGTCCACGTAGACCAGATATTTTCTCAGTCCCCTGAGTGGTCCTCTTGGGCAGTTTGGTCTGTGTGTTAGTTACCAGAATCTTCTTGCTTTCATGAAAGTTATCCTTTACACTTTTGAAGGACTACTTGCATCTTCATTCCAATTTTGTGTTCTAGGATTCGCCCATCATTGACCTGTATCCAGAGGACTTCAGAATAGATCTCAACGGGAAGAAGTACACATGGCAAGGTCAGGGATATCATTGTTTGTTGTTTCAAGACATAAGACATTTATAAAATACCTCAGTACTTGGCACAAGGAGTTTTGTAGCATTTTCCCTGCTGATAATGCTTCTATACCACTTTAAAGTCCAGGGCTCAAGCTGAAATTCTACCCACATGACTGTGCAGGATTATAAGTGCAGGTAAAATTGAAGATGTAAAATTTGTATTTTTGACATGCGTGATGTTTACCTGCACCTAACCTGAGTTGGTCCATGTACAGGGTTTATATGCAAATTGTAGGTTTGTGTGGATTTTCAAATTTTTGCATTGAATGTTACCTCCTACTACCAAATGAAACCAAAGTGAAGATGAATGCATTTACAATTATGTGCTCTGTTACATGTACAGATCTTGCGCTGACAGTCAGCTTTCATCTGCCCAAAAGATATTGTAAAGATTTGAAAGATTCAGAGTTAAATGGTGTTATTTTTAGAGCATGGTTACACATGTACATGTATGTTAAACTTAGTCAACATGCATGTATATATAAGTCTTGCTATCTTCAGACACATTGATTCTTGCACTCTTGTCAAACGCAGGTGTTGCTTTACTCCCGTTTGTGGACGAGGTGCGACTTCTCAAGGCTCTAGACGCCGTACGGGGAGATCTTACGGAGGAAGAACGTGAGTAGGGGTCACCAACCTCCGGAAGAAATCCTTGAAATGTCTTGAATGAACAGCTTCTTCTGTGCAAATATCTTGAGCTAGTGAGAAGAATATAACCTCCATTAACATCTATCCACTGGGTTACATGATGTTTGTTTGTGAGATCTCTATTGTAGTACCCCCAGGTATACACAGTTACATGTAGAACAAATATAAAGATTAGGTATGAGTGTACAAATGTATAGTACATTGTATTGTACTGGGAGATGTTCTCTTAAGATGTATTTTTGTCAGGATGGCCAATACTTGTATACATGTACATTCAATGCATACATATAATGTAAATGATACATGCTGTGCTAGTAGTTCATTTGTATCATTAATTTTGTTATACATGAATGAAATTATGAGCATCTCCATAGCTTTCAGTCCAAAATGGCACCCACATCATAGCAGCTTTGACGGAAAATGAACCATAATGACTTTTGTTACAAGAAGACTAGAGGTAACTAATTTTAAATTTACGCTGATAGGGCATCATAACATGGGCAAGGAACACAAACATGTGTATGTCATGTATATAGGTAATTTTATTCATAAAGGCCTGATATGATTTTTTAAAATGTATGAAACATGTTACTGATGTCTAAATGTCAGTGTACAGAAATAGCCTGGGTGCAGACCGGCTGTACCTGAGAGATGGACATCCTGCCTTCAGTTTCTTCCAAGGACTGTACCAAGACAGCTTGGAAGAGGTGAGACAAGCTCCCTGTACTAAATGTGGCATTGTAATTATAGGTCACTAATAAACTTTAATGATAAAGTCTAGATATACATGCATATGTACAGTGGCTATAGTCTTGTATGGTGTGTGTGTCTGTGTGCATGTGTGTGTGACTGACTTTACATGTATGTGTATGTGTGCATCTATTTGTGTCTGTGTGTGTGCATGTGTGTGTACAATATATGTGTGTATGTATGTGTGTGCATAGATATAGACAAATTTATTTGCAGCCTGCAGTCAATTTTTTTCTTGGTCCCCTAACCTCAATAGTGTATCGAAGATCTACCAATAGTTTAACAACAACAAATGAAGCTTATCAGAGAGACAATGACCGCTATCTTGCCCCCTCCCCAGGCTGACCTGAATGCTAACCTTACCCAAGGTATGAGAGGTGTCATCAAACCTGACAACCTGGCTATCATGCCAAACAAGTAAGTGAAGTAAAAGATCTTAATATTACTGCATGTATATTGCTTTCAGGAGTTTTGACCCATTAGTATACTATACTCCTTTAACTCCCATTTCATTTGTTTCAAGAAGTCAGAGGCTTGTCAGATCTTTAAATAATGCTTGCTATTGACTTAATAAAGTCTGACGAACATGTCTTCTGTTGAACAGTACTGTCAAGTCACCTCTTCCGAACCTGCGAGATGTCTTCAACAACCAGACACTAGGGTGAGTTTGAATGAATGAATATTAAGTGTACTAGTACTAGCTGTTGTAGTAGTTGTACAGTGTATCTACATCTGTACAATCTGTATAGCCGGTGGTAAAGCCATTTGGCGTAACTCACCAACTTTGCAGGCATAGTGAGGATGCCTCAAATGTACTTGCTGGCAGCAAAGTTCCACTCTACAGTACAATGTAGTTCTAGCAATGGTCTGTCCAAATGCGCAGTCTAGCTATTAGCTACAGCATACAGTCACTGTGTCGTGTATACTGTTTTAGTCAATGTTTCAGTCACTTACAAAAGGGCAAATAACCCCATGTCACCCTATAAAGGGCAGTATAACTCCAACCAATAATGATGATGATACTTTTTCTTTAATTGTGGAGGTTGATACATTCCAAATCACACTTCTACTGTTTCTCTCTCCCTAACCCAGTGTTCTGTACAAGGACCCATCATACGCAGAAGACTACATATTCCCAGCCAAAGTACTGCCTGATGCCAAGTAAGTTTGTTTTGCACTAAAAACACTTTCAATAGATTAGAATAGTCATTCTCACATCCTAGTAAAACAATTGGAATTTAAAAAATTGGACCAAACTGCATTTTGGGAAAGCATGGTTATACTTTTGAGATTTGTAAATGGTTACAGTGGTAAAGAACTGCTAATCTCAAACTAATGAATTTACTACTTCAAAAGATTTGAAGTAATTTCTGTGTGGGAGAAACACAGAGAAAGGTTGTTCTGGGATTTCTTTCTTTCTTTTCAAACCCTCCACCGTTTTAATTTCTGGTCAAGAAAATTTGTGATTATAATATGGCTGTTTAGTAGTGATATAAAATAAAATCTCCCACTTTTAATTCATCTGAAGCTGGTTAATTTCCCCGTCAAATAAAGTAAAAGCGTCACTATGGTAAACTCATAGTCATTGCTATGCACTGGATGAATGTAGAAACCACACCTAACCCCCTATAGGATGCCAGACCGCGTCCTGAAGCCAGGAGACTTTGAGCGACACCAGCAACAGGCGAACCGTGGGCGGGGCCGCGGGCGGGGCGGTGGCGGATACCGTCCACAGCTAGGTTTTACCCGGGACAGTGGCCACGGGGCCAGACTGTCCGACTCGGGCCATCGCATGCTGCAGTGAGTACGGCGTTGCTAACGGCAACAGTTGCCACGGTGTTGGTGTGTTTCCGCAGCACATGGCAGTTCTAATAAACGATCATTCCTCATTTCTTCTCCCCCCTCCAGTGACACTGCTGATGACTGCATGTTGCCAGCTCTCTACCTCCAGTTAAACGCCTCAACTTTAACTTTAACTCTCTCCTCTGCAGAAAGAATAAATGCATGCTGCTTGTTTGTTTGCTTCTTTAGTTGCTTGGTGCTTGGGTAAAATTTTTCTGCCAGTGTCATTGAACTAGAACAACAATAGTCCAAAAAATTCTTCCTTTTTTCTTAAAGTGGCATACATTTATAATGTATTGTTTGGAGTTGTTGAAAATCTTGGCCTAACATGACAATTGTTCTGAGTAAAATGACACTGTTTTCTTATGACTGCATAGTCTCCACTTTCTTTGCAATGTTGTGCTTTGTTTTGTTTTGTATTTCTTGCTACATCTTGGGTGATCATGTTATAAGGTGCATACTGTAGTGTAGCTTTGGTAAAAACCATAACTTTTAACACCTTTAATTTCCTTTCCATTCCTTCCCCATATATAGATGTGTGGGTGCTCTGCTCTGCACTTGACCCTTGACCCATCAACCTGATGATACCCTGCATGTTCCTGTAGTTTCGCCTACAGCATGAAGTTGTTAAAGACCCCCTGCTTTACCCTTCAGTGAACCTTTCCTGTTTGGTTATTTCCTTGCGTTCTGTCACTGATAATACTTTGACCCACAGGCATGGCATAAACAAGGCGTCGGGGAGTTCTTTATTGGGGAGTCCTCCCCCGATGATGGGCTCCCCTGGGTTCCAGTCTCCACAGTACAACAGGGGGAGCAACTACAACTCCCCCTCCCCTTACAGCAGGGGCAGGGACTACAACTCCCCCTCCCCACATGGTTCAGGGGGTAGGTACGACAACTACAGACAAGGGGGCAGCTCTGGGGGCTACAGGAATGGTGAGTGCTGATTTTATGTGCTTACATGTGCACCCTGTTTCCACTAGAGGTTGCAACTAGGGGTGGGTACCGGTATAGAAAATTCAGGTCCGGATCAGGTTCAGAGGATCAGGTCCAGGTCCGGACCTGAAACCGGACCTGATTATTGTACAGTAGTATAGTATATCATATTTTGGCAAGCGAGACACAATTTCTTGGTGTACACGACACGGCCGTGCATGAGGCCGCTTTTCCCAATGAATAATACGGCTGAAATGCCAACACATCCACAAATAATTTGATCAAATACTTAATTGCTGCGATCTAAAATGTTACAGGGTTCTCTTAGCGGGGGTTGTTTATTGTTTTGATTGGTAAAACGCAGGGTAAAATACGCTAAAAATTTAGCCACGCCGCGGTCCACACTTCCGGGTTAAGTGACGACAAAATCACGTCGAAAACGCTAAAAATCCGCATAGAAGCATATATTTTCCCCAAAGATTCTTGAAACTATGCATTTCTTCACTAGAATATCGATGTGTGGTTGTGGAAAATAGAATTTTAGCGCCGATATCGAACAAAGAAAAGTTGTTTACACGCGCGTCGGCTCGCTCAAGTCTGCCGCTACGCTGCCAGCAGCGGGCGCAACAACCAATCAGAGATGCGAAATGCCAACACGTGACGCGGGATTGCGTCACAGTGTGAACAATGGGGGAGGGCTCGCCGTGCACGAAATGTTTTTGCGTCAATATTCAGCGCCGTGTTTCAAGAGATTAATACCGGGAAACATTTTTTTTCTTGTTTTTGAACGCATAAACATGGATTTAGGCTGATCTAGTATGATTCAGGGTTATTTTTTTTACCTGCCATGGCCAGATTATCTAAAGATGTGTGTGTTGTGTGTACAAATTATCTACAGAAATGTACATCAGGTCCGGTCATCCGGTTTTCACGTTTCGGTTTTTGGACTCGGTTCTTGAAT